TACTTCCTCGTGGAACGGTAACTAGCTCAGAATCTAGTGCCACCTCTAAAGGTAATCGCGCTTGAATAAAGATTTCAGCATTCGCCTCACACCGTTTCTAACTTCTTTCGTCATGGGATATTAATATTTATCTGGGTTGTATATGGAACTCTCAAATTATTCAATTTCTCACGTACTTTAAATTCCAAATTTTTATTTCAAACTTCAGTTGTTCAATTTTCGAATCATTCGATATTTTAATTTTGAAACTTCGAAGGTTTAGGTTTGTACATTTTTATAGGTGCAAAATAGTAAGCTTCAATTTCTTTGTAAATATATAGTTTCAAATTTGCCAAGTACCACTATTTCCAAGTTTCTCTGGCTCCAAGTTGATTAAGCATCAAGTTGATCAAATTTTTCTAGCTCTAAATATAATTAATGTACATCTATTTACTGACACGATACGACACACATGACCGATATAAAAACTCCCTAGGTACTCAAACAAAAATATTATTAAATTCAGTGAACGTACCAAAGAACCATAGACCAGTCATTAAAAACAGCAGACATTATAATAACCGCTAATTTTTAGCCGAATATTTCCGGATGAAACAAGAATGAGGTCGCGCACCAGCATTCACAAATGTCGCTGCTTTTTCTTCTCCGCGAACCATCGTTCTTAACTTTCTTTCTGGCGTCAGACGATCGCTACACAATTTGCCCGTACTTTCTAACACGAACGTTCACGCAAACGAGCGGCAGCCAGAAATTAATCAGCGATCAGTGTTTAGAAAAATCCTCTCGTAAGCTACAATTTTGTATCGCGTCTACCTGGCTTTCAATTAGACTCGCAAATCATGTACGGCAAATCGTGCTCTCCGAATTAAGCTTAACCAAGCTGTCTTTCACTTTGCCGGCAATTTATTTCCACGTACACTCGCGGGCATTGGGACATTAATACGAGAGAGATATATTCAAAGAACTATATTAATTTGGCGATGTAGGAATTTAAGGATGTGGGAAATTGGGGGATTAGGAATTTGGGGGTGTGAAAATTTGGGGGTGTAGGAATTTGGGAGTGTGAGAAGTTAGGGGTGTAGGAGTTTTAGGGCGTAGGAATTTGGAGGTGTGGAAATTTGGAGATATAGGAATTTAGGGATGTGGGAAATTGGGAGTATGGAAATTTAGGGGTGTGGAAATTTGGGGGTGTAGAAATTTGGGGGTGTAGGAGTTTTAGGGCGTAGGAATTTGAAGGTGTAGAAATTTGGGGGTCTGGAGTTTTGGGGCGTTGGAATTTGGGGGTGTAGGAATTTAGGGGCGTGGAAATTTGGAGATATAGGAATTTAGGAATGTGGGAAATTGGGAGTGTAGAAATTTGGGGGTGTGGAAATTTGGGGGTGTAGAAATTTGGGGGTGTAGAAATTTGGGGGTGTAGAAGTTTTAGGGCGTAGGAATTTGGGGGTGTAGGAATTTGGAGATGTCGAAATTTGGAGATGTAGGAATTTAGGGATGTGGGAAATTGGGAGATTAGGAATTTAGGGATGTGGGAAATTGGGAGTGTGGAAATTTGGGGGTGTGGAAATTTGGGGATGTGGGAAATTGGGAGCGTGGAAATTTGGGAGTGTGGAAATTTGGGGGTGTAGAAGTTTTAGGGCGTAGGAATTTGGGGGTGTAGGAATTTGGGGATGTCGAAATTTGGAGATTAGGAATTTAGGGCTGTGGGAAATTGGGAGATTAGGAATTTGGGAATGTGGAAATTTGGGGATGTCGAAATTTGGGGGTGTAGGAATTTTGCGACATAGGAATCTGACAATGTAGAGATTCGAAGATATATTAATTTAAATCGGGGATTTAGGCATCAGGGATTTAGGGATCAGGAATTCAGGGATCGGGGATTTATCTATTTCGACATACAGCTATTTAGTAATACAGAAATTCGAAAACATGGGAATATGAGAAGTTCGAAACCTCACTCCATAATTTCTCAACATCCAAAACACCAGTCAAACTTCCCTTCTGATTGAAACTCTCCATCAAAGCCTAGCATTGCACCTGAGTGTACATACATGTACACAGCCCCGTACAAGTATAAACGAGCATAAGCACGTTAGAGCAAAGTGGCTGACGTCTAACCCAACGCCCGAGCGGTCTCCTGTGCGTACAACATAAATCTACCTTAATGATATCGCACGTAATGCCAGGGTGACGCTATCTCTCTGGTTGGTACACGTGAGAATACGGCTTGACACCTCGATCCGACGCCGTTTCGTACGCTGCTCACGAGAGCAATCGCGCGAGAAGATCGTATCGCCGCGATTTTCTGCGACCCTTTCGTTCGCTAACTGTGGCCTTTCTCGTCGTTTAGGCGGATTCGCACACCGATGACTCCGAAACTTTTAGCGAGCTTGACCTGAAATTTCCAGCGTTACGGTTCTCGTGTTTCTGCTCCGGCCAGAAACTATCTTGCGATGCCTACTCAGATACGCTTCTTTTAACATACTTGGCATTCGTTGCATTTTTCTACCTTCATTCGGTTTGGTTTTTTTCGACTTTCGCGCTTGGGAAAGTATGGGGTAAAGGGTTCACTGTGCGAACTGTTACTGGCATACGAGCACTCGGAAGGTTTAGAAATTATGTTTATAAAAATTGAAGTATCAAATTTTTTAATTTAGAAACTTCATATGTAGGAATTAAGGATTTAGAAATTGTAAATGTAGAAATTGAGAAATATAGAAAACCTAGCTGAGAAGGTAACTGAAAAGAGTGGAAAATATGTAAATAGAAAATGTTGAAATTTAAAAATTTGATAATTAAGATGTAGCGACATATGGAACTAACAAAATGAGAAAATAAAATAATTAGAAAATTGAATGAATAGTATAATTTAAGCTCGAAACATACGCAAACAATTTACCTAAAAAATAAAGTTGTCAATTTACGATCTTGAGCACTTAAAAATTGAGAGACCTAATTAAAAGCGTCACCAATCGAAAAAAGTTATAAAACTTGAAATAAGTAGACTATCCAGGTGTTCGCGAATCCGGCTCCAGTTTGTACCCGTATATCCCCATAGCTACTTCCGTGTCATCGTAAAATCCGCAGCTTCTTAATTGCGACTTAGAATCGTCTCGACTAACGAGCTCTCTGTACATCGTTATCGATTCAATTGAAGCGATTAGGTGCCTGACACGTTCGAGAATGAGGCTTTTAGATACGCGTAAACTTGGCGATAGGTGCAATAACGTGGCAGGATGCTAAAAAGTTTGCAAGACTACCTGTTTTCAGAGCTGGTCTTCCTAATTGCGAGATCAGGAACAAAGAACAGAGAGAGAAGCGAAACGATAACGGACTTTTCAGCGAGGAACTCGTAAATTTGTCCGCAACATGTTGTAACGTGGATTTTTAGATTCTCTCCTCCTCTCAATTTGTTCTCGCCTTATCGTTCTGCCGGGACTCGTTTACTCGTTAAATGGTAAATGAGGTGTAACGTTCGGATCGAGCTTCTCGTTTACTTCCGTGTTATCTTATCGGACAAGATGACCTTTGACTCGCAATTAGTAACTGTTTGGTCAAAAATTAGTAACGCACATTAATCTTCGCTTCAGATATCTAATAAAATAGAACATACTGTATTTCATTAACGACTAGATGCTACAAATAACCTTTGAATCAAAAACGTTCTCCTTTTATTAAATCATCTACTGGAATAATTTACGACACTCCAGTCTTCATGAATACACTCCTAAATTATTCTTCTCAAAATAACCTACAGCTGACCCGTCTAAAAATTCTCAAATTTAGACATTTTTAAAAATAAAAATCCCTGACCAACTTTAACCTCAAACTTATTTATATACCAACTTAATTTTGCTTCGTAAATTTGTAGCATAGGAAGACATAGTCCACACATGTTCAAAATCTGACATACTTCAGAATTTTTATTTATTCGTTAGAATGAAAAGCCCCCGATATCAAGATAAAATCTTGATCGTACGATACGTTTTGTCGCCGTGGACCTCCAAAGATGTTTGAAAAACGCAGAAGCAGACGGTCCAGCGTAGAAGTCGCTCGTTCAATACCGATACTTACCGTTAGAAGCGCATTAATATCGAGCGGTGAATCGACCGGTAGCGTCGCGTCGACCTCCAGGAGAGTCCCGGTAAAGAATAGGGTGCAGTTAGATCGCGGTATTGTGACGATTACGCAGGACACTGCAGGACGTCCGAGAGGCACCAGGAATCGGCAGGCTCTCTCTCAGTAGGCACCGGTAAATACCACTAATCACTTCTCGATCCTTTCTAACCCACCTTGACCCCTCCCCTCGAAGAATTATAGCCGTTGGTTTTATTCAGGCTACCTCTTTCGTTCGCGAGAATATTGTGCGCGGAGTCTTTCGAAAATCGGGGGAAACCGGGTGTTTTCTCTCTTTAGTATTATTAGAAAGGGCGATTTTATTTTGATGGAAAATTGATCGAAATAAGTGGGAGTTAGGGCTTGGACACATTGGCTAGTGAGGTATGAGACTTGGACTAAGGATAAAGTGGAAGTTAGGGTTTAGATGAGCTAGTTTCTCTGTAAGGTATGAGACTTGGATGAAGGATATCTCATGTATTAAAAGTTCAGAAAATTGAAGTATTAAAATTAAAATATTTTCAAGTTTTCATATTTTCAAGTCCCTAAATGTTCAAACTCTAAGTTCTCAAGTTCACAGTACCTCAAGTTTATATCTGAAAATTTCCAAGTTCTCTTTCCAAATCATCAAGTTTCCCAAGAATCGGATAGAAGACATTACGGACCAACGACGCAATTTTATTGACGGATCTGTATGAAATAACGCAAATGCAGTACATCATGAAACCGATAGACATGACTCATACGGTCATACAACTGGACGATTCAGACACAGGTAACGGGGATGCACGTTATGGAGACGCGTCTCGAAGACGCTGACAATGTGCTGAGAGATTGTCGCCACTAACGATGCTGCACGAGCACGGTACCGAGTATCGATCGTTGCATCAATCTTGATCACGAATCTCCTGTCGATCGTCCGCACCATCTTGATTACTGTTGGTCGATGATTGACTGCGGCTCAGACTACGATCTCGATTCTTGCTCTGCCTGTCTTGACGCTCTTGGTTCGTCTCGCAGTCGCACGGCTCTTCCTGGCCGTTCTGGTCGATCGGTTCGTCCCTCAGAACCTGGATGTCTCTGGCCTTCTTGCACCTGCACCTGGTGCAACCGACTCGCCTGCTCTTGGCTGCTCGGCGCCTGCCGCTTCGCCTCCTCCTGCGGGATCTCCTGCGGGATCTCCTGCGACCTCTGCGCCTCCTTCCTCGGCTGCGACGTCTACGTCCTCTTCTTCTGCTTCTTCGGCGATATCTTCTACCTCGTTCGACCGGGGCCATCGACGAGGCGAGCTGCGTCACGTCCGCGTCCGTGTTCAAGAAGTAATGGCCGTTGCTCTTCTTCAGGATTCCGTAGTCCAGGCCGCGTTTCAGTGCCGCTTGCATCTGGGGACGATGTAATTCATTATGGTTTCATTAGGCCTTGAAAAGTTGGACGGTTACCGTTTCAACCGTCTGTCGTTAATGCGTTTTACATCGGTCGGAGATATCGAAACGGCTTGGACGCTAGGTGAGTCTAATTATGTCTCACCTCTGTCGTTCTTTTATCGGGAAGTAGGAATAGGATATACATGGTGTTTCCAAGTAAATTTAAAGGTTTGAACAAAACATTAGCCTATAGTAGGGTGACGATCTAGACGTTTTGGTTGGGGTTTAGTTCATATATGTCAAGAAAATTCTATTCTGCAATTTTAATTATCAAAGATTTGATGTCGTCCATGACTACGAGACTAAGGTTATGTCACTTAACAAACGCAAATTTTTAACAACCACATAGATATACTTCATATATTTCAGATCAGTCATAGTCTGAGGTCTAAATTGAGTCGATAAAAAATGTCATAATTGCAGCAAATGAAGTATACTTCTTACATGCAAAGATTTCATGCATTTGTTTCTTCGATCACATCACGTTCATTCGTAAGAGTCTACATTCACGTCCTTACATTTCGTTTTCATAAATACGATGTCAAATTAATGGACAACTTCTGTCGATCGCAGATAATAAGTAAAATGCAACACCTGTTTTAGTCCTTATTTATCATTTGTGCATATTCATTACCGATGTACGAGTCAGGAATCGTGTTAAAATTTTTTTCATGTTAAAATTTGAATACATCAAACTAAAATAAAAAATCTTTCTGGTAAAAAATTTGGAAACTGTGTAAGAGACCTGTCTTTGTATGGTGCTTTCCGGAGCGCTGTACTGCGACATGATGTAGCTCATGATTTCCTTGGACGTGGATCCATGTGCCTCTCGCAAATTTCTGATAGCGTTGACCACCCTGGCCGACATCTTCGGCACCTGTACCCCCATTTTTGTCGTTCCCGTCGCCTTTTAGCTGCAGGAACCAGAGGGAACATTCAGGAAGAACCCAAATCTTCTTCGGCTGAAGCGAATCTTGTCGCGCATTTGAGTTTCACGCGTCCTGCGGGATCTCCTGCGACCTCTGCGCCTCCTTCCTCGGCTGCGACGTCTACGTCCTCTTCTTCTGCTTCTTCGGCGATATCTTCTACCTCGTTCGACCGGGGCCATCGACGAGGCGAGCTGCGTCACGTCCGCGTCCGTGTTCAAGAAGTAATGGCCGTTGCTCTTCTTCAGGATTCCGTAGTCCAGGCCGCGTTTCAGTGCCGCTTGCATCTGGGGACGATGTAATTCATTATGGTTTCATTAGGCCTTGAAAAGTTGGACGGTTACCGTTTCAACCGTCTGTCGTTAATGCGTTTTACATCGGTCGGAGATATCGAAACGGCTTGGACGCTAGGTGAGTCTAATTATGTCTCACCTCTGTCGTTCTTTTATCGGGAAGTAGGAATAGGATATACATGGTGTTTCCAAGTAAATTTAAAGGTTTGAACAAAACATTAGCCTATAGTAGGGTGACGATCTAGACGTTTTGGTTGGGGTTTAGTTCATATATGTCAAGAAAATTCTATTCTGCAATTTTAATTATCAAAGATTTGATGTCGTCCATGACTACGAGACTAAGGTTATGTCACTTAACAAACGCAAATTTTTAACAACCACATAGATATACTTCATATATTTCAGATCAGTCATAGTCTGAGGTCTAAATTGAGTCGATAAAAAATGTCATAATTGCAGCAAATGAAGTATACTTCTTACATGCAAAGATTTCATGCATTTGTTTCTTCGATCACATCACGTTCATTCGTAAGAGTCTACATTCACGTCCTTACATTTCGTTTTCATAAATACGATGTCAAATTAATGGACAACTTCTGTCGATCGCAGATAATAAGTAAAATGCAACACCTGTTTTAGTCCTTATTTATCATTTGTGCATATTCATTACCGATGTACGAGTCAGGAATCGTGTTAAAATTTTTTTCATGTTAAAATTTGAATACATCAAACTAAAATAAAAAATCTTTCTGGTAAAAAATTTGGAAACTGTGTAAGAGACCTGTCTTTGTATGGTGCTTTCCGGAGCGCTGTACTGCGACATGATGTAGCTCATGATTTCCTTGGACGTGGATCCATGTGCCTCTCGCAAATTTCTGATAGCGTTGACCACCCTGGCCGACATCTTCGGCACCTGTACCCCCATTTTTGTCGTTCCCGTCGCCTTTTAGCTGCAGGAACCAGAGGGAACATTCAGGAAGAACCCAAATCTTCTTCGGCTGAAGCGAATCTTGTCGCGCATTTGAGTTTCACGCGGAATTTTGACTTTCGTGCGAATAACTCGAAACGAATCACGAGAAAATTTGAACGATATTTGCCAAAATCATCGTGACGCGAGGACACCGTCAGTTGCCGTCTCGTTGGCGATCCCAAATATAATTGACGAATTGTTTTGCGGTTTCCGTGTTCGGTTTTTGTCGCGCAGCGTGACGCGACGCCGCTCGCGTTTTACTGCGTGACAGGCGACGGTAACTGTAGTTCGATATTGCAAATTGTACATCTTATTTAAAACGTACCGCATTGACCTACATATTTTAATACATTTATAATATTATTACCGCCGTCTAGTTTATCACGTTCGTATTAAGCGCGTTTCACGACACAATCACTTGTAGAATTACCTGGTCGAGCATGGCCGGGAAAATGGCAACGAGATGCCCCGTTACGTTTTTTAAGGAATACCAATGCTGGACCAAAGTAATGCGTCATCGAAATATTACAGAAGGAGAAATAGAATCGTAAAGATACTAGACGCGCGAATGGGGTCGATTAGATCCATCGAAGGTGTAAAATATCTTCGTGTCTTGTCGCCTCTTTTTTATTAACTCCTCGACCTGTTCTTTTCCGATGTTCCACGAACCAGTCGTCACGATATCGTCCGATCGGTGCTCCAATGTAAATGTCGCGCCAATTAGTCGAAACGTCGTTCGAATTTATATAACGTGTCTAGCGGATACCGTTGAGAATCGACCGATTCGAAATAATCGATTCCCTTATCGAGGATATTCTATCGGACCGTTATATTTTATGACTTCCCTGATGACACGCAACGAATCGTGTTAACGCTATATTAATTTGTACGAAAGGGAGAAACCTGTAACCATTTCTTATCGCATCGTTCCACGAGGAGCTCCTACATTTTCGTGTGTACCACAAGTTTTCCCAATTTATCAATCTGACATTTCTATATTTTCTAATTTGTCAACTCGCTAATTGTGATATCTACTTACTCGATATCTTACTTTCATAGTTTCTTACATTTCTAATCTCGCAATTAATTTTCTTACTTTTAAATTATTTTCGTATGTTATCAATTTCTCTCAATTTTTCAATCCGTTTCTTTATAAATTCACAGACTGCAAGAAATATTTCTACGTGCATGACAAGTACATGCAGTATTTCTGTAGAGATAGTGATGTTCCAAGAAAATGGCCGCTACATTGATCGCATAGCGAAGGTGGGGTCCTCCGAGTGAGATTAACAAGACGAAGCGCAAGTCGAGTCGTTAAAAGCTGGCCTCGATACTTGTTAAAAATTCGGTGATCTGTAAGGTAACGAAGGGGTTTTGCAGCCGGCTCGGTGCCACGGCAAATTCACCGATTAATTTTTTCCGGCGTGCTCATTAGCCGCCCTTAATGGTGTCGGCGGCGTTAAAAAAAGCCGCGATTCCGAGTCACGCTGGTGGAACGCGTGTAACCCGCTCGGGACATCTTGCCACCTCGTCCGGTAATTGGATAGTCGGGGATGTGGCGCGGTTTACAAGAATAACGTGGCAATTTAGCCGACCGTTTAGCCTTCTACCTGACCAGAACCGATTCTCCCGATTCGTTAATCAGCACCAGGTGTCGCGACTCGGCGCGTTGCCCGCCCGGCGCTGCTCGTCGCGGCGTACACCTGCACGCGCACGCTCGCGTCTATACGCCAATGATTATTTATCAACGTCTCGCTCGGAGACGGAGAAAACGTCGCGACGTCTTCTCCGAAGTTTAAAAGGCCTTTTATTGTCGTTAGTCGGCTTCCCCTTTCTTCCGATTTACCGTCCACGCTGATTCCAACCGGTCTCTCTCTTATTCCAGCTTCTTTTCAGGCTGCACGCGAAACGGTAATTCACGAACGCGCGTGGAATATTTACGGTCGACGCGGAACGGAAATTTATGTATCGCTTCCCGCGTCGCGACGATACATCATCCGCGAGCGGCCAGCTAGACCGCGCGACGATCCTATTTCGACCAATAGAAACGCCAACCTTTATTGATATCTTCAGGCGAGTTTGCTCGATACGCTGCACAACCGCATTCCCCGATAAAACGTTCACGGGTTATTATTCAGACCAACCTCGCGGGATATTGCTTCATCACAGTCTTGGTAAAAACACCTCTTTCTATTTTTCATGTGTAACTTCATTAGGGTTTACCGTTTTAACTCTACTAGAATGTAGGGCAAGGGTAGTCATGTAACTTAGAGCTGCTGCCTGCTGAAGTAATGTTTAGTTGTGTCAAATATACTGAACGTCCACATGGACCTTCAGGATGTTCAGTCATGTCAAATATGTATACTGCATATTCACATGTGGATGTTCAGTCATATCAAATATACTGAATATTCACATGGACCAACTACATGTTCAGGTGTACCATATAAGTATGCACTGAATATTCACATGGACTATCTGGAGGTTCAGTCGTTCCTAATATACTGAATGATCACATGGACCATCTGTACGTTCAGTCATACCAAATATATTGAACATGTACATGGACCATCTACATGTTTAGGTGTACCATATATGTATGCACTGAATATTCACATGGACTGTCTAGATGTTTAGTCGTTCCTAATATACTGAATGTTCACATGGACCATCTGTACGTTCAGTCATACCAAATATATTGAATATGTACATCGACAATCTACACGTTCAGGTGTATCATATATGTATACACTGAATATTCACATGGACTGTCTAGATGTTTAGTCGTTCCTAATATACTGAATGTTCACATGGACAATCTGTATGGTCAGTCATATCAAATATATTGAATATGTACATGGACCATCTACACGTTCAGGTGTATTATATATGTATGCACTGAATATTCACATGGACTGTCTGTTTAGTCGTTCCTAATATACTGAATGTTCACATGGACAATCTGTATGGTCAGTCATATCAAATGTACTGAATATGTGTATGGACCATTTGTATACATACACATGGACTATGTGTATGTTCAGCGTAGCGAAATTGGGCGACTTTGATGTATTTTTCTTGTTATCCACAAGAACTTAAGAGCGAAGGAAAGAAGAGTCCAGTGAGCTGCATGCACCGTCGGTCGCGGAGAATTCCATCGGAGATAGTCGACCTCTGTATGCGGGAGCCATCACCCTTCGCCACAGGATGTCCGTCAGGATGGACACTGGTCAATCGAGCGTGACGATTGCCCGCTAACGCATTTTTACACCTACGGATCTTTTTATCGAGGTGCATTCCAGAGACTCTAATCTTTTGCAGCGTTGCAATGATTTTTCGCGTTTTTCCGATAATCGGCATCCGTAGCTGATGGTCATTGGACACGACCGCAACTCTATCGACTTTCTTTTATTCGTCGCGTGGATAGAAATATTTGCTGAAAATATTTTGTCAGTTTGAACATTTACTGTAACTGTGGCTATAAAATCTGATACTAAGAATTACAGGACAGTGATATACAATATTTTGTTGTTACTTGCATTGAAATATGTGGAGAAAGTGACTAGACTAGTCTAAATATTCTAAAGCGCAACTCCAGCTCTAATCTGGTATCAAAATCGTTCTTTTTTTATTCCAGCAACATAGTACTTATCGTACAACTGATGTTCAACCTACAATTTTAAAACTTGTCATTTATTATCAATCAGATACCATAGTTCATTATTTACAACATACTGGAAGTCCTTGTATTTTTCTAAAGAACATCAAATGATCGAATCAACGTCAAAATAATGAAGCAACATAACACTATTTATGTAAAAAGATCATGGCGATATTCGAAGTTTTCAAATCGTCCTTTAAATTATAGACGATTCAATAGACTTTTTTCCATCGAGTCCCGCTACTCTCTTCGATTTCTCGCAGCCATCGTTTTATAGACTATTCGCTAGGCTAATGATACTCATCGGCTTAAAACTTTCTCTAGGAGAGATGATCGAGCAAACGGTTCGTAGCAATTGACTCGACTCGGCGTATCGAGAGTACATATCGAGCCGGGAGGCTTAGCCTCTATTAAAGCGGATACCGTGTGTAGAGGCGACACAGGAGACGGCTACCAGCCAATCGACCAATCAACGGCATTGTACCTGTGCCGTGCGATGATTGCAATTGGCTGATTAACGGCCTTCTCTCCGCGACGCCACGGGGAGTCGCATAACTCGACCGAACCGTGCGTTTTGCACACTCGATTGCAAACGACACGGCGAGGCGAGGCGTGTCACTCGCGTTGTCCATTATCGCCGTGTTTTTGCCGTTTTCGCGATCGCCATTTTGCTTACATTATCGAGAGGTTAGCGATATGGTCAGGTGACAGAAATTGTCGATCGATTCGCGCACATTGGCGTAACTAGCTTCTTTATTTCATGGGACTAATGTTAGATCACCACGTTACTTCTCCACTCATCAAATCTTTATATATTACACATTGTATCGCTATGCATTGATAGTTCCACGCGTGGTAATTACTACGCGTCGTATCACCACGCATGGAATTTCCATACATTAGATTTCCACGCATTGGATCACCACGCGTTGATATTCCTACGCATTGTGTCGCCGTGCATTGATAGTTCCACGCGTGGTCATCGCTGCGCGGTAGATCACCATGCGTCCGATATCCACATGTTAGATTTCCATGCGTCCGATATCCACACGTTCGATTCCCACGCGCCCGATATCCACACATTCAATTTCCACGCGTCGAAATTTCTACGCATTGTACTACTAAGCATTGAAGATTCCACGCGTAGTAATCGCTGCGTGGTAGATCACCATGCGTCCGATATCCACACGTTAGATTTCCACGCGTCCGATATCCATACGTTCGATTCCCACGCGCCCGATATCCACACATTCAATTTCCACGCGTCGAAATTTCTACGCATTGTACTACTAAG